AGGTGGCCTAGCACACAATGACACAGGGTTTATACTGGTTTAGGCAACGTGCCCTACATCCAGTTTGAGTCGGTCGGTAACTTTATTCCTAAGCCTAGGTGCTCAAAGTTTGCAGTGTGTTACAAATGAGAAGGAGAAAGATGGGGGTACAAGAGGTCTGGTCGGACTCTGGTCAGAGGGGCCAAGAGTGACTGGAGCTCCGCTATGTACTAAGTGTTCGAGCGTGTGCTCGAGGTTTGAACCTGGCCGGTGATGATGTTGTTCGGTCCTAACATCTTCAGCTTGAGGTAGGTGTAGTTGGGGATTGCCATGAATTTGGTGTAGCACGGCCGCCCCAAGATGGCGTGGTAGGACCCTGGGAAGTCCACCACTTCGAAGGTGAGGACCTCCGAGCGGAAGTTGGCTCGGTTGCCAAACATGACGGGCAGGTCGATCTACCCGAGTGGGTATGCCTGTGCTCTCGGGATCACCCCATGGAAGGGAGAGCCCGCTAGGCGGAGTTTCGACCAGGGGATGCGCATGGCGTCGAGGGTGTCGACGTAGAGGATGGTGAGGCCACTACCTCCGTCTATCAGCATTTTGGTGAGGCGCTTCTTGCGGACGATGGGGTCGATGACGAGCGGGTAGCGTCCCGGTCTTGCGACGTGGGAGGGATGGTCCTTCTGATCAAAGGTGATCGGAGATTCTGAACAGCTGAGGAAGGAGGGGATGACCATCTCGGCGGCGCATGCCTCCCTATAGCGCACCTTGTGTTGGCGTTTGGACCAAATGGCGTCGGATCTGCCAAAGAACATGATGCATTCCTTAGGGTTGGGGAAGCCGTCTCCATCCTTGCCCACCGCGCCTCTTTTCTTGGCTGCCGCCTCTTTGCCGTCTCCTTCTTTTGGCCCGCCAGCCTATCGGAGGAAATGTTTGAGGAGTTCGCAGTCCTTATAGAGGTGTTTGATAGGGTAGGCGTGGTTGGTGCACGGGCTATCCATGAGCTTGTTGAAGTGGTCAGGCAGTCCCTGTTGGGGCTGCTTGCCCGTGCGATCAGCTGCGGCGACCAATGTGGTGTTGTCCGGTCGGCGCCGATCCGTTTTGTTCTTCTTGCCCCTCTATGTGGAGGGGCCCTCATCTTGGTCCACGCGCTTGGCCTTGCCTTTGTCTCGGCCTCCGTTGAAGACCGCTCCGACCGCCTCCTCGCAGGAGGTGTGGTTAGTGGCGACGTCGAGCAGGTTGCGGGTGGTACGGGGCTTCAGGCAGCCGAGCTTGTGGATCAAGGACTCGCAGGTCGTCCCGGAGAGGAATGCGCTGATGTCGTCCGCGTCGACGACATCAGGGAGGGAGTTGCATCATTGGGAGAACCTATGGATGTAATCCTGCAGGGACTCACTGGGCTCCTGCTGGCAGCTCTTGAGGTCCCAGGAATTACCAGGGCGGACATACGTCCCCTGGAAATTTCTGATGAAAACCCTCTTGAGGTCTGCCTAGTCACAGATGCTGTCGTGCGGGAGGAATTCGAGCCATGCCCAAAAATGTTCCCCACACAGATGAGATATTGAATGATGAAAAGGTCATCATCCACCCCACTGGCTCGGCAGGCGAGCTAGAAATCTTCGAGCCAAATACCAGGGTTCATCTCCCCGGTGTACTTGGCGATGTTGGTGGGCGGTCGAGAGTGCTGTGGGAATGACACTCTCTGGATACGCCAGCCAAAGGCCTGTGGTCCTGGGCCCTCAGGGCTAGGACTCCGGTCGTCTAGCCGAAGACCATGCCTGGGGCACGTTTCACCGCTCCCCTCGATGGTTTGGTCGGGACCCATGTCGCCTGCCCTTATCGCCGCCCGGTGGACATCATCATCATGTCGGGCTTGATGCCGATTGTTGATGATGCTACGAGCGTCTTGGTGCAGATCGGGCCATTCACGTGCCGATGGTCGGTGTAGAGCAGGCGCCAGGTCAGACCACAGCGCAGCCACTGCCTCCTGAGCCATGCTTGGCGGCTATAGCGGTGAGCGAATGGAGTGATCTATCTGGTGTGTTCCGCCTGTTGAATGGCGGTGGCTTCTACCAGTGCCCTGAGGTTCCGGTAGACCGCCCGCTCCTAGGGGTCGACAGGCTTGGGAAAGCCACGCAGAAGCATTGCCGCAGCGGCGATGTTCTGGCTAGCCTGAGTGAACTATGGGGGGTCGTTCCCCACGTTCATGATGTCACGTTGGACCTGGCGGGTGCGACCCCGGGCACCGCCCGCCGGGTCATGTGCATGGGGCGCAACGTGCTGCACCGAGCGCACTGGCGCAGGCGACGGTTGGTTCTACCACCGTTGTCGTAGCTAGTCGGCGTGCCCTTGTGCTAGCGCGAGGGCCCCCGCACGCAGGTCCGGAGGGGTGTGAGTCTGCATGGACTCTGCAACCACTGGTGGCTGTCCTGGGGCGTCTGCCATAGCGCACTCCCGGGACGGACGGTGGCTAGGTGCCACATCGCCAATGCTGGAGCCATCGCTCTCAACCTCGTCACCCAGGAGTTCGTGGAAAGTGGTAGGAGCATAGCTCTCCATTCCCACGAATTCAGATGTGAGAGGGGATGGCGCCAGCATCCTTCGGAGCCCCCGAGCGCACGCATCCACGGGGGACGCGAGGACGTAGGGGAACCGATCGTACGGTGTTCGCGGTGCGGACAATACGGTCCCTCTGGATAATTAGCGGGAGATAGTAAATAGAGAGTAAATAACAGTATGTACATTACTCACAGCGGGGTTTGAGCAGAGAGTTTGCTCGAAATGAAGCACAGGTGCCTTGTCGTTGAAGTCATCGTGCGTTCCAGAGCCGATGGAGGGCGCCCCTTCGACGGGCACCAGAACGAGTGCCTCCTCGTGGAGGTGTAGTACGCCGAGCCAGTCGGCGACGAAGTCTAGGCTTCCGAAGAGGAAGGCCTGGGACAGCTCGAAGACGGGTGGAACCCACATCCCAACAGGTGGGAGTGCGGGAAACTCCAGTGAGCCGAAGCGAGTCGTATCGCTTGAACCCACCATGGCGAAGGTGGCAGAAAAGTGGGCCATCCAATGACCAAAAAGTGTTGAACGTACAACGTCTTCCCCATGGACGGCGCCAACTGTCGGTGCAGAAAGTGACCAACACGTAAATATTCGTAGTTTTGCCGTACGTTGTGATCAGAGGTGGCCTAGCACTCAATGACACAGAGTTTATACTGGTTTAGGCAACGTGCCCTACGTCCAGTTTGAGTCGGTCGGTGACTTTATTCCTAAGCCCAGGTGCTCGAAGTTTGCAGTGGGGTTACAAACGAGAAGGAGAAAGATGGGGGTACAAGAGGTCTAGTCGGACTCTAGTCAGAGGGGCCGAGAGTGACGGGAGCTCCGCTATGTGCTAAGTGTTCGAGCGTGTGCTCGAGGTTTGAATCTGGTGGTTCTGTTGTTGTGTACTAGTGAACTTGATCGATCTGAATAAACTTATCTGTTGGGAGATAGCGCATCCCCTTTTATAGATGAAGGGGATGGCCTTATAAGTGAGAGGGAGAGAGTACGTATGCTACTAAGTCTTATTGCCCACGCCGGCGGGTACAGGATGATGGTAGGCGCCGACAATACTGTTGAATGTCAGATGCACGTGGGAGGTTGTGTTGACTTCTTCTGGTATGGCAGATATCGGTGCCTATCATACTGTTGATGCCGAGAGGCATACAGGGGGTTTTACCATGTTCGCCTGACATGGTAAATGACGGCGCCCACAACACTGTTGATGCCTCAGAGGCACGTGGGGGGAGCCTTACCGTACTTGTCTGGTATGGGAGTTGACGGCGTCTACAACACTGTTTGGGTTCTGTCATGCTAGAGAGGTTGCAGGGTACTGTCCTGCAGGTGTGCCAGGTATGGTCCTTGATATTGCGGTTGACTTGAGTGCGCTGCCTTACTTTCTCCGTCCGTTTTCTGGTCCTTACCGAGCGGGCGTCCCCGGTCGGTTGGTCCCAGTCGGCTCTGATTGCGCCAGTCGGAGAGGAGTTGTAAGTAGGGGTTCGGCGCATCCCCGGTTGGAGAAGCGGGTCGAAGTCGGAAGTGGTGTTTGGCCAGGCCTTCCGGTCGTAGAGGCCGTCCGGAGGCGGGCTGGAGACCGAAGCGAGCGCTCCGGTCGGAGAGGTGGGCCGGAGTCGGAAGCGGGCGTCGTTCCTCTTCGGCCAGGCCTTCCGGTCGGAAATTGGATCGCCCTTCTGGCCTGCTGTTTTAGGTATTTGAGCCGGCCCAAGAGTTGCGCGTTGGTTCGCAACGTTGTCTGCTGGGCCGAGCTTTTGCTGGGAAGCCGGTCCATGAGGGACCCCGGGTTTATGAACCCGACAATATTGCTATTGTTTTCTTATAAATTATTAATATTAAAAATTAATATAGTGTTGCATAAATTTGCCTTACAACACGTATATTTATTGTTGCCTTGTGGTCTTCTCAAAAAGTTCGGTTAGAATCGGAACTGAACCGAAATAACCAAAATCCGAAATGGTCGGTTCCAAGAATTTTTAAGAACCGATCGGTTCCTATTTTCTAAGAACCGAATTTCTTCTAAAACCGAGGAACCGAACCGAGAACCGAATGCCCAGGCTTAGTGATGAAGTTCAGCAATACAACCAGCTATGGGACTTTGGCCAAGAGATTAAAAGGTCTAACCCAGGAAGCACCTTCTACCTTAACATAGCTGATGGACACTTCAGCCACCTATACTTTGCTTTAGATGCTTGCAAGAGAGGATTTCTTAGTGGCTGCAGGCCAGTCATCTGCCTGGATGGCTGCCATATTAAGACCAAATCTGGAGGCCAGCTGCTGACTGCTATAGGAGTTGACCCTAATGACTGCATATTCCCAATAGCCATGGCAGTTGTGGAAGTTGAGTCCAAGAACACCTGGAAGATGTTTCTGCAAACACTGAAACAAGAACTGAACATTGACAACACATATCCATGGACCATCATCACTGACAAACAAAAGGTACATATCCTAGTAGTTACTTTTAGGAGAAGATGAATGGACCTCCAGTGCAGTCACCAGCATATGAAAAGAAGGTTAGAAGGCCACCAAAATCCAGGAGGAAGCAACCTACTGAAGTGCAAGGAAGGGCTGGGCCAAAGCTGTCAAAGCATGGGGTAATTATTACTTGTAGTTGGTGCAAAGGTGAGAACCACAACAGTGCTGGTTGCGCCCTTAAGAAGTTAGGGATTAGGCCATCAGTCCATAGGAACACAGCACCAACACACAATGAAGAGACTCCTATTCATGTAGACAACCAATCTAATGAAGAGGCAACTATCTCCCAGGTAATGACCACATATTACCACCAAAAACAATTACTGTTGTTGTGACACTCCTAATTGCATTACATGACAATAGGAATTGGGACAACCACATGCAATGGAAGATTTAAACACTTTGAACCTGATGTTGTCATAGATGCTTTCACAGGTATCAAGTACCTGTTTTGACAACCACATGACAATAGTATTACAAGTACCTGTTTGGACAGGTATCAAGCACTAATATTGTAATGTTTTTACAGGCATCAAGCACTGTGGATGCAGGAAGGCATCATGGACCACTTCCAGACAGTGCTTTCATTGAAGATAACCAACCTATTGCCAGGCCAGCGCCACTTACTACAGCAACAAAGCAGGGCAAGGCAGCAGGGCAAGGCGGCAGGAAAGGCAACAGCAACAAAGAAGTTAACGGGGAAGAGGAAGGCAACCTGAAGTGATGAAGAAGTGCTTCTCTTTTGTGAATGAATCAGTTGACCCCCTTTTGTGAAGTATAGGCCTAACATCTTTTGTGAATGAAAGATAAGGTTCTTTTGTCATGTAACTTGCATCAAAACAATGTGGATGCATTATAGTTAGGCAATGGTGGTCCAAGCTCTGTAATTTGCATCAAAACTACTAGTGGATGCATTTAAGCAGTGCTGTGCTAGCACCCAGAACCTTGTGTGGATGCTTCCTGTGTAATATAGTCACCTGAATGTGGTGCTTGCCTACAACTAAATCTTCTCATTGCAAGACATTGCTTACCTGGTTCCACTAACACTAACAATTGACTGAAACATGACATGGCAAGACATTACACAAAAGTTCATTTCAGATTGTCATTCCAGACATTGCACAAGTTGTATCATTCATGTTCACTTCAAGATTACAACAACCAAGATACCAATCATGACAACAAGACCAACAACACCCACTGCTACCAATGCTTTAAGTAAAATACAAATCTCTTGATCATATCTCTTGTTCACTGCATTCCCTAGAAGTCCACTTTCTTCATCTTCAACAGCCGCTGTGCGCATGGCCTCCTGCTGCGTTCCACCTCTAAGCAGTCCACCTACCACAGTGGCACCACCTTCTCCAATCTCAGATTTGAAGCCATGATTGTCCTTCAAATACTGCTCGTAGTCTTCCTCCCACAAATAGAACTCACAACCTTTTTTTCTTTACCTCTACTTTTCTGAGAAAATGAAAGCGGAAACAATCAAACCATAGACCGAATTGAACTGCAAATCATCAAATCGAAACCGACGTCAGCTCCATCACCTTCCTCCATCCGCAGTTCGGGCAGAAGATCAGTGGTAGGTCCGGCCGCTTGCGCTGGCGCCTTGATGAACTCGCCATACTTGAAGCCATGGCCGCCGATGCAGTACGCCCTATGCGAGAGAGATGAGAGAGACGAGAGAGAGAGGGGAATGGGATGCGGCTGAAATGAGGCGACGAGAAAAAGGCAGGGGGTTCTTGGCATAAATACCAACCACCTCTGTTCCTCCCACGCACGTCAATAGAGGAAAATGGCGCCAACACTCCCGCCAAGTCCACGTTGGCCTCCACATCAGCAGATCAGCAGCGTCAGATAGGGTTTGGACCTGATTGGAACACTAATGCGAGTTTACGGTGCCAGAAATACAAATCCTAAGCTCCAGGACCTATTGGAGAACCCAGATAAGTTTAGGATCGCCTCTGAAATTTACTCAAAAATTTCAATAGCATCTTGGAAAGCTTGTCACTTGATAGTTGCGCACGACATGTGTTTTTCTTGTTTGCTAAGGTCTTGTAGAGTCTATTATGAAATCTGACCTTCTGCAAGTGCCTAGTGCTGCAACTGACTGTTGGACTTTTTAGGAGCTTTCAGAAAATTGAGTTTAGTGAGTTGTTGTACCCAACATTTTTGTTGCTGTTGTGAATACCAATAGCTGACCAGCTTGTGTGCATTGTACACTTCATGTCCATGAATGTGATGTCTTTTGCAATCGTGATCTGTTATAATGTGACAATCAAGTGAAAAGTGCAGGCTTATTTTCAGTTACCTTTAATTACCTATGTGCAGATTATACTATTTTATATATTTGTTATGTAGTTTGGTTTCAAGTGATGCTGGTCTGTTCAGCATTATTTTAATTCATATACATACGGAAATCTATGTAGTATGTGGGTTGTACTAGATGTTCAATGAACCTATGTTGTATTTAAGTTTATGTGCAAAATCACTAGCTATCAGTCTTCTTAACCATCAACTATCTGAAGATATTTTTCATCATTGTTCTAAACTTCTATGATGACAAAATGTTTGTTGATATAGGCTTGAGTGTGCAGTACATCCGAAGAGACAAGATACACAATCAAGATGAAGTACCATACATCAAATCTGCTAAGAGATCAGATTACCATGATGCTGCTTTTATGTTTATTTTTTGCTCGAAGTGGATGTAGCTACATGTCTATTTTTACTTCCACAGTCTGAAAGCCTGTGCAAATGATTGTAATTATATAGCAGTACTAAATTATTTGTGGTACTAAGTTTCAGCCTGAGAAAACGTCATTTCTAACTTCTTTGCTTTTTTCTGATTATTTTGAATATATTTTAGTCATCCGGGATTTATATCCCTATGTTTTTCAAACGGTAGCCAGAGATTCTCACTCGTGGGAGATAGGGGTGGCAAGTGCAGGGGGGAATATCCCTTTGGCCCTTAAATCCACGTGGTTTTGGGGTTCCTTTATCCAAAGGAGCCCTGAGGGACAGGTTAATCCCAAATAAATGGAAAATATTTTTCTACTATGATCATGATCATCCCAACTACTTTATCTTTTAACCAAACACCTTTAAAGAAAAAGACTGTCATATCTCATTCTACTTGGCATCTCCAACCAGACCTGTTTAGTACGTCGACCATGATCCAAATAACAAAATCCAGTCCGTGTCGTAAAAACTTCTGAACATTATGTAATTTTTCAGAGGTTTTGGACCCAATACAAGACTTCCAGACATGCCATGATCAGGGATCTAGACCCTCTTCTTTCCGAGCAGCAAGTGCAGGCGACGATGGACCTGCCGCCGGTGTAGCCTGTGTTGAGCAGGAGCAGAGGCCACGCGCAACTGAAGCTACAGCAAAGACAACGAACACAAGGTACAACCCAAGCAGCTTCGGCGTTGCTCTCCCTGACCCCTACATCTCCCCAAACATTGCAGACTGAAACAAAACAAAAGTAAATGAAATATATATTAGAAGATTGTAAGAAAGCAACAAGATAGTCAACGCATACTCAGATGACGAATGTATTCAATTTGGATCCTGGTTGCTAGAAATTAACATCATATTTGGATGCTATTTAGAAGGACCAAACGTGAACTAAATTTCAACAATTGCATAAGCGGTGGCTCATTGGTGAGACAAATCTATTAATCCTAATTAGCATATGTTTACTATAGCATTATCTAAGCTAATCATAAGTTAATTAGGATTAATAGATTCGTCTCAACAATTAGTCACTGCTTATATAATTAGTTTTGAAATTAATTCATGGTTTGGTCCTTCTATGTAGCATATAAGCACATTGCTAAATTTTAGCATCTTTGATCAAACTGGAAGGTATAGACATAAGCCCAATATTTTGTTTTTTTGGCCCCCTTTTGAAAGTTTTACACAAATCTGTTCCTGAAGGTATGCTTTCAAAATCTAGACCCTTAACTCGGCGCCAAGGTTAATTGGCGCCGAGCTAACACGTCTCGGCACCAGCATATTTGGCGCCTAGGTTTCGGGGCCACGTAGGCGTCGACGCAAACGTGGTGGCGACCTAGCAGGCAGAGCACTGCGCCAAAGATCTTGGCGTAGATCCTGCCTTACAGGTCGATCCATTTTCTTTCTCTCTTCCTTCCTCTCCTCTCTTCCTCTCCCGTTCTCTCTCACCCCTCTTTCTGTCGCCCGCCCGACGCCGCCCGGCACCGCTCCTCGTCGCACCGCCCTGCCCCGAGCATTGGCACCGTGGACAGCCGTCGCCCGTCCGCCCCGCCATCCCGAAGCGCCATGGCCAGTAGTTGCGCCCGCCCGAGCATGAGCGCCATGCCAACCACAGCAGGCCGCCAACGCCGTCTCCCAAGCCCGCCCGTCCCGCGACGCGCCCCAGGCCACGGAGCCCCGCGCGCCGGCCGAGAGCGCCGCCCATCCCCGCCCCGCGCACAGAGCCGCGCCGTGCCGTGCCCCTCCACGACTGCTGCGCCGCCCTCCCCGTCGTCGAGCCCGGACGACCGCGACCGCGCCGGCCCCTGCTACGTCGCCCTCCCTTGCCCGCTCCACAGGGGCAGCGGGGGGCCGTGGACCGGTAGCGGGGTGCCGGTTGCTGGCCGCGAGCACGCGTGGGCACACTACAGCTTCCCCATCGTCCGTCTCTACCTCCTATTGACCGGTTGCGCCTCCCCTACACTCGAGGTACATTAGTTTTTCAATTTTGTTCTTATTTAACAATGGTTATTAGTTAGTGTGGCAGTGATTTAGATAGGTAGAAAGATATTTAGATTGATAGGTTGATTGATGGATACTTTACATAGTTAGATATATAGTTAGTTACATAGTTATATAGTTAGTAAGATAGATAGTTAAATACTTATATAGTTAGTTACATAGTTAGTTAGATAGTTACTTGACATAGTTAGTTAGTAGTACTTAGTAGTTAGTAGTGAATTGATAGTATCTATTTAGTTAGTTATTACGTACCAGAGACCTTGTACTTATATGTTTCATTTATATTGGACTAAAGGAAATGTGCTTCGTTATGTGTATGAACTAGATGGACAACCTAGTGAGCATATATCATGGAGGCACCGTGGAAAGAGATCGCTATGGATATGTTGAGTTTGTTGACATGGAAAGTGTGCCTGTGTTATTCAATGAGAAGCATTCATTTAGTGAGTTGGTTGCAAGGGCTCGGGAGGAGCTATATTGCCATGGAGATGATGATGATGGTGGTGGTGGTGGTATCGTAGTTGAGGGTGTATTTCACCTAGGTTCCCCTCCCAACATCCTAAGGAAGATGATCCCAATTGGGTGTGCGGATCAATGGGAGAACTATGTGAGATCGGCTATGAAGAGCCAGTTCCAAAGTTTGGACGTGGTTGTGCGTCGAGTGGTACTTTATCGCATCCCTCATGGGTTTTCCCGAAAATGGGTCAGCAGGCACACTTTGACCCTCCCATCCTAGAACCTGATATGGATGCGGAGGTTGCGCCTACGGTTCTCGATGCCCAATTCACCCCCAATGAGGTCCATATTTCTGAGGCAGTTGGAGATGATTGTCGAACTCATGATGTTGTGGCAGATCCTCCTCAGGAGATCCCTTTGACACATAATCATTCGAGTAAGTGTCTTATCTGCATCCTTCTTTGGAGCTTACCCCCATCCCTTCATCCATTTTTCTCATTCTTTCCTCGTATTTCTGTTTATGG